GGAGTCACTTGAGATCGCAGTCACTGCTGCAATGCAACTTGTCACAAAGCTATGCAGTGTCGGAGTCACGGCTCTCTTCATAAACCGGTATTGGAGTCGGCTCTCTGTTCTTCAGAGCTTGAAAAGTTGCGTTGATAGCTGGAACTGTTGCGACCCTTGTCACCGTGGTCGTTCTGCCCTCTTTGTGATCTGTCTACTGCAGAGCTCTGGGTTCGAAACTGACCATGTGTAGTATATCGCACAATATGGAATCGCTAGCGATGGGGTTTCTCGAAGCTCGCGGAGATGATTGTCTGCGTTACACAAATTCCGAGCTTGAGCCCCAAATAAAATGGCTTGAGCAAGTAGCGGGAGGAAGAGAGTGATAAGGAGCAAAGCCATTGTCCGAATTTAAACAGAAAGTCTAGAATTTGAGTAAGAATGGAAGATGGAAGATGGAATTCTCCGAACAGAGAGCATCATGCTATAAACTTCGTCAAGGCGGGGACACTAAATATAGCCCAGGAGCTGTTGTGGAGCGACAAAAGCATTTAGTATGCAGGACACAATATCATACGCAATGGAGCGCAGTGAAGTACACAATCTCCAGGGACTAACTAGCATCTGTGGCAGAACCTAGCCAAGGAGAACTCCTGACGAAGTGTTGCTCGGAACTTTCTCAAGCCGCATTTTCGGCTTCTGCAAGCCATGGATTTTCGGAAGGTGGGATGACCACACGTGGTGCAACACGAAACTTTGAATTATTGGGGCGAAAAGCATTGATGAAAGTCATCGCGGGGAGACCGTGTGAGGAGATGATCATCTCGTCAGAAAATGACTGACATGGCGTAACCTCGATCGGGTCTTGAGCTTCTGAAGCAGAACCGCCAAGTCGACGAGATAAACTGTGTGTGTAATAAGAAAAAAAAAGAAAAAAAAGCGCGATTTGACAAAATGAGCTTTCGAAACAGTCTAAACAACTCAAGAAGAAGTATTGACGCTACGATACTTTCTTGGTAGCATTGAAACTTTGCTTAAGTGTCCCTAAGCGCCGAAAGCCTGACTTCCCAAAAGTTCGATTATAGATGGAGGATCTATTTGACACTCCCACTCGTCGTATAATCAATACAGCGCAATCACCGTCCTCGTTCTCTGTAAATTATGCAGAATAGCCATAGCACAAGTCATGTGTCACTACTCACACTCACCACCTAACCTCTCCTTCCCCTTCTCCCAACCTTAAGCACCCACTCTTCCGTCGTTCTGCCAGCCACTTCTCGATCCACGCCTTCATTTTACTTCGACCTGTTGCGCTTCCCACATTGACAGTAGGAACTATCTTCTCGATCCTCAGTGCGCAGACAAACATGGTCAATTCTCTGAAGCTGCTGTGTTCTGAATAAGGTACACCGAAACAGGAAGCTTCGCGGGTTGATCCGCGTTGGGGGACGAGTTCGGACATAGTGTACGTGGATTTCCAATTTGTACTGTGAAGGATTGTGGGGATTGATGGGGATTCAGTAAATCTATGCCGGTTAGGAGCTCTGGTCGAAGATGGAAAGAGAATGGGAAAGGAGAGTACCTCGAGTTCGGTGGTCTATAGTTCCACCCACTAGGTCTGAACCCTACAATCCTGCTGAAATGCGGTTTATAGCTGTTCAAGTAATCCTGCAAAGTCTCAGGTCGAATCTCCATCAGCATCTGCATGTGTATTTGAGCTTCTTTCGGATTGTCAGTCATTCTAGACATTAATTCCTCATCCTCAAGCGCGGCACATATCCTGATCTTTCCTGGCGGTGCCCAGATCTTGCAATCAAGTGCTCGTGCAATACCGAGACAGATACGCTCCTTTCCAATACTGTAGGTTCCGCATATAACTAGTAGGCGACCACGAGGCTTGTTACCTTTTGATGCAAGAGACATGGCTATGCTATCATCTTCGGCCTTCACAGCTGAATTGACGAATTTAGTCATGCCGCTTCCAGCTCGTTCTCGCTTTACCACTTCCCATGCATCGCTTTCTTCAGCGCGCTCCTTGCGTAGAGATACGCACATGTCCGCACAGGCTTTAATGACCTCTTCTTGAGAAGGAAATGCGTAGCGTGGGTTGAGGTACGTCGTGTCGAGATAGCAGACATCGATTTTCTGCTGCTTAGTCTTGCCTGTGATAGAATCCAGTATATCTGGCATGAGCATAGGGTGAGCGATATGTGCTGGACAAGCACGGAAATCTCCACAATGAAGCACTCGCTGAACTTTCGGATTTGAGCCTTTGCCAACAACTTTTTCGAAGAGGAAGAGTGAGCTGCCTGGACAATGATTAGCCGGAATCATTGTAACAGCCACACACTGAGTGCCCGGAACTTCGCATCGTTCTTCGAATTGTAGCGGTACGACATATTTTGGGTCGACTTTGAGTTGCTGCTTTACTAAATTCGCTGTAACCTTGCTGCAATATATGGGTCCATGACACCATGAAGGCGTCAGCCCAACATAGTGATCGCTGTGGAAGTGGCTTAGGAAGTAGGCATTGCATCCTTGAACAGCACCATATCTAAAAGCATCAACGCATATGAAGAATCCAGGCATGATCTTGTAGAATGGACAAGTTCTCTGGTATGCCGGCTTGCCTCTAGATTTCGCCTCTGCTGCCGCTGCATTTGTCCAAGCAGTATCTTCTGCATGGCCAGACATCAGCTTGGAGAAGGCCGATGATGGAGCACCATTCGAAGAACCACCTAATTGGATAGGGTTTATTTGGCCGGGTCTTGCAATCGCTGCTTTTCGTGCAAAACGATTCTTTGCCTCTGGTGGCATAAGCTTTACTTCAGCAGGTTCTGATTTCACTGGTGCTGGCAATGGCACCGGATTGCCATCCAAACATCCATTGACATGTCTTGTAGCCTCTTCGGGGCTGATACCACTTAGGCTAGCTTCGCAGATCGGACATGTCGCAGTCATGCTCTCATCGGGTGGCTCTTCAGCACTAAAACCCTCAAATGGCTCATCATCAAACCCATTAAAAGATTCCTCGTCCTCTCCTAATTCTGCTGCCTCAAGCCTTGCTTGCTCTTCCATCCATTTCCTTTCCACCGCTTCCTCGCCATCTCCAAATTCTTCATCGTCAGGAAAATCTTCGAGATCTTCGAATTTACCCCACTCATCAATACTCGTCGCTTCCTTCTTCAACGAAGGTATCAGTGGTGAATTGGTTGTCTCATTATGATTGATTTCAGGAGAATCAGAAGACCCTGTGCTTTCAGGTTGGTTTTTAGGAGATAGATCTCTCGGCTGAAGGGCTTCCCATCTAGCTTGCGCCTCAGCGACAGGAACTCTTTTCCGTCGCCTCCAAGCCAATGGTTCTCCTGGAACTGTAGATTCAATGGTAGGTACTATAGACTTGTTCTCGTGAATATCGTTCTGGTCTATGGGCTTCGTCTCCACGACTTCATTCAGTTCTTGAGGTTGTTCTGCGACAGCACTTCGAAGTTGTCTCTTCTCGACATTCACAGCAGCTGCCTGAATACTTGGATTGTCAATTTCGTAGTCTGACTCCGAGTCCGACAGAAATGGGCCTGTCCGTCGGGGCTTCTTAGGTTTTGGCTTTGACTTGGATTTAGATTCTGGTGGTGGCGGGGTGCAGACGTTCTGTACTCGCGCTGAACCGACCGGAATGCTGAGGGCGGGCTCCATTGGTACATCTTCGTTGTTATCATGGCCCGCATCACTTGGAGTACTAGTCCCCGAAGTCTTTCTCCTCTTCACCGATCCTTCCATCTCATTGAATCTTCCAAAGTCCTCATCATTGCCGTACAGATCATAGAGATCCTCCTGAGAATCCAAGATCTCTGGACTTAAGGCCTTTGGCTTTGGTAACAAAGGGTTTGCCCGCGAGCCTTGTGACAGAAATATCGAATCATCCTTTACGGGTGAATCCACCTTCTTGAAGAAACTCAATATACTAGCATTCGGCTTGCCAGGCGTCTTTGCAGATGCTGCTTTCTTGTTGGCAGTCTGCAATTTCCCCAACATGGGCAGATTTGATTTCGATTTTGGTCGCGGAGTAAGAGGTTTGGCCGGTGCCATTGTGGGAGGTTTAGGGGTTCGTGTGCTATTCGGTGGCGTTGGTGGTCTTCCAGTAGAAGGTTTTAGAGGAGTCTCGACACTAGCATTATCTCGTGGCTTTCGGAACATCGTCTTCGGGATGCTATGCCATTGATAGATTGACGTTTATTGTCGTCGGTGCAAGGCAAATGTCGTTCGATATCGACGTTTTAATATCCTCGGACTGCTGCCAATGCAAGATAACTCATACAAGCGGTGGTACAGAAATTCTGTGACACAGCAGATGTACGAATCCCTCCAACGGTGGAGAGCTCTTGTGGCAACACTCGGTGGGGTCGAGGATGTTGTCTTAAACTAGCTTGACGCGAGCGCGAGCGAAGAAAACACGAACACGAAGTCACGACGTAGGCATCTATATTGAAAGATCTTAATCATGATCTAAAAAAAATTCATAAGTGCATCGCCAGCTAGCTTTATACACTTCATATTCAGCCATTATCTTCTGCTACTGAATACTATTTCTTTCTCATTTGCTAACCAGAGAAGAATAGAGTCACGTGCAGAGGGATTGGATTTGATGATACCTAGGTAGGTATATAACAATGCTATTGATCTAATTTCATAAGGTTTTTCCATTCATGACAAGCACCTTAAGGCCGAAAAGCTATATCCTATAATAGAAGAAGAGTAAAGGTGATTTTCTTTTCAGATGATTGTTGGGAGCAAAAGCAATTTTTGTCACCGCATTGATATGTACAGTAGCAGGAGCGGATAAATACACATCTGTGCCTTAGGTGCCTGACGTTTCTCGGCAGGCTTCGCGAAAAGCTGCCCCACTGTAGCCGAAAAAATCCCCGCACAAAACACAAATTTAAGGAAGCTGTTAGAAAAGCAGACTTGAAATTATTTTGAAAAAGTCGTGGGGACCAAAAATAATGGCAAAGACTGCAAAAAGTTGGACTTGCAGGGAATCGAACCCTGGACCACCCCCATGCTAAGGGGGTATTATACCACTAAACCACAAGCCCTTATAAGCTATTTCCTTTGGAAACAGGCCCTCATTGGAGGACTGGTAGAAATTTTGCTTATTTAATCTTATACGCCTCGTCATTTGATGGCACACAATAGGATCTACAGCATAATTTTATACCAATCAACGAATTCTTCATGTAATCAGTAATCGACATTCAGCGAATGTTCCCACCTATCTACCCTACCTACCTAGTAGACATCAATGCAGTTTTGTGAAAGAAATGCGTTGCGAGCCTACCTAGGTAGCTAAATGAATAGGTAAATAAGTTAGACGGATTCATTTATCTTTTGCATGTGATGCGGTTTCTGTTACTGATTACGATCGTTGAAAGGTTTGATCATTTCGGTACTTAGGTTGAAGCAGCAATAAAGACATATCCCCAAGCAAGTTCACAAGTTTGCACCACAAACCAAAGAACGTTGAGCGCAGACCATGAACTCGTAGTGAAGAGCATTTTATGGCGTCACAAGCCGTTTATTAGAGAGAAGTCCCAGAAATCTCACGTTGACTCGAATTTAGAGTCAGACCGAGAAGCGATGCCCGTTTAGAATTTTGTGAGGCTGCCGATAACTTGGTTTTCTTCAAAATTGCTGTATTCTAAGGTCATTAGATCATGTATGACGCGTATAGATTTGACCTGGTCGATCATGGCGAGACTATCATCTGGCTGGAATCCTATAAATTCAAATGATGAGCATTTAGAGAGAGGTAGAGATAGAAGTTGTCGATAAGTGTAAGATCCGCGCTAATCCCAAAACAGGAGCGCTAAAGCCCGCATCCCACACACAGAAAAGTGCCTGCGAACTTTTCGAATTCAAGATCACAACGAAATCGACAACAACATCTTGAACTTGACGTTTCAGTCTCCGCCCCAATACGCGGTTAAATCGATTGATCCTCCTGTTCTCCCAACAATTCAACCAAATGTATGCGCCATACGACGCCTGTGCATTCCTGTAAAATATTGCGACTGACAATTATTCCCAGCTACCAAAATGAAGCACCTCGCAGCTTACCTTCTCCTTACCCTCGGTGGTAACAGCTCTCCTTCCGCCAAAGACATCAAGGCCGTTCTTGAGTCTGTCGGTATCGAAGCCGATGATGAGCGTCTCTCCTCCCTCCTCAAGGAGCTTGAAGGCAAGGACATCAATGAGGTATGGGAGCACATGTAGCAATGGGCGAAGAATGGATTCTAATGGATACATAGTTGATCGCTGAGGGTTCCTCCAAGTTGGCCTCTGTTCCATCTGGTGGTTCCGGTGGTGGAGCTGCTCCAGCTGCTGGTGGTGCTGCTGCCGGTGGTGCCGCAGCCGAGGAGAAGGAAGAAGAGAAGGAAGAGGGTATGTCAATTCTACACAGGTTATGCTGGACAACTGCTGATCCCAATTACAGAGAAGGAGGAGTCCGACGAGGATATGGGTTTCGGTCTCTTCGACTAAGCAATCAACATATGTCGCCATGGATCCTTTGCTCTCGATATTCCAACGAAAGTGGTCAGGGCTTCTGGAAGGAGTTGTGCGGGCTTTGCCTATCATTTGCGCATCATGAACGAAAAGGATTGGGAATTACTAGTCTTTTTCCGATGAATCGTCAATTATGCATCCAAATAGGTCAATGAAGACGTGCTTCTTTCAAAATGACTACATGGCACCATGATACTTGAAATGATGAAGATTTAAATTTGTAGAACAGTGTGTATGTCAACGCCATCAGAAATGTTTTCAACCTGTGAACCTTCCAGGCTGGTAGCTGGGCACGTGACCTATCAATGCGATTCTCGTGCAAACAAAAATGTATTATTCACACCTGTGAGGGCAAGTGGGATTCATAGATTACAATTGACACAGTGTCCTGGGCCCTTGCGGCTTCGTTGTCCCAGATGTTGGACAACATTGGGCTCTTCAATTGTGAGGCTCTCAGGCGCCAAGATTCCGCTGGGGCTTCTCGATTTCTTGCCCTATTTTTCCACGCTACTAACTAAGCGAGTCACCTCTAATCGCAAAATCCATCGCAACGACATTTCGAACCTTCATCCACGATCGCCGACAGAACATTCGCCTTTCGACAAGCTTCGAAAAGCGAATCCCTCACATATTACCGCAATCATGGCTGACGAATACGTGAGTATCAATTGAGCTGCTCTTTCCTGCTCCCATATCCCTCGTTTAACTATCTCGAGAGGAAGAGTCAATGCTGACTTCATTCATCCCACAGGACGCTGAGGCTGCGGCCGAAATCAAGAAGAAGAGAGCCTTCCGAAAGTTCTCCTACCGTGGCATCGACCTCGACCAGTACGAATCCCATATACACACATACCTAAAGTCTTGAATACAAAGGGGAGCCTTAGCTAACCCTCTATTCACCCAGACTCCTGGACCTCTCATCCGACCAGCTCCGCGATGTTGTCCACGCCCGCGCTCGCCGTAGGTTCAACCGCGGTCTCAAGCGCAAGCCCATGGGTTTGATTAAGAAGCTCCGCAAAGCCAAGCAGGAGGCCAAGCCCAATGAGAAGCCAGATCTTGTCAAGACACACTTGCGAAACATGATCGTGGTTCCTGAAATGATTGGCAGCGTTATTGGTATCTACTCTGGCAAGGAATTCAACCAAGTCGAAATCAAGCCTGAGATGGTTGGACACTATTTGGGAGAATTCTCGATTTCTTAGTACGTATCCACAATGGTTACATTCCGGCCAATGCTAACATACGAACAGCCGACCTGTCAAGCACGGTAGACCCGGTATCGGTGCTACCCACTCTTCGCGTTTCATTCCTCTCAAGTAAATGCTTGTGTACGTTGGGTTTCGACGGCTGGCATGGGGTGCAATGGGATTTGGCATTTGTGATTAGCAGTATACAAAAGCTGCGGCAGATAGCAATCAAGATCTTTGCATCTTCTGAGGAAACTTTGCCTTCACTACACAGCTCAATCTCCCATTTTCCACATTTCATTCCTACCAAGACTATGTTATACTTTTATCTAGGATCTAAGTATATACGCCGAAGCCTCGAGCACTGTTCTTACCAGGCATGGTCCTCTCCCTCATGCCAACGAGCACACTGTGATACCTAACAATCACAGAACGTAACCTGCTATCACAATGACGAACGCCATCCTACGTATATAAAACATCTTCCTATGCAACTCAATCTTCACAACAGCACATCCTCGAACAAATTGCATCAAAACCAAACTCAAATCTACCAGATCAACCTTGAAATAAACCTCAATCAGAGCCAAGAACCAAACCACAAACCCGTCATTAAATCCACTCACGACCAACCAACCATCCATCATGCAGAACCTCAATCTCCTTCTCATCTTCCTATCTCTCACCCTCATCCTATCTCTCTCCTTCACGACCGCACACCCCTCACCTTCCCTCTCACCCCGACTTCAACACGGTTACAACTGCATCTGCCAAACCACAGGCAGCTTCTGCTCTTCCCGCAAGGGGAAAACAACGGGACAGTGCCCGCCTAGTGCTTTACTTTCCTGTACGGCGGTGAATAACATGCCAACTTGGAATTGGAAGACTCAGGGTTGTTCGAAGTGTGTGGAGGGCAGCGAGAAGGATGGGAGTAAGGATGCTTGTCGCTGAGGGTGGGGTTCGAGAGAGGGAGGGGGGTGTGTGCTTGCTGGTTCGAGCGCAAGTAGGGTAGAGGATGGGTAATAGGCGAAGTTGGAGTTGAGGTTGGAAAGCTTGAGAGAATCGAAGCATATTGTGCGTAGTATTTTGCAGAGCTTACTCGGTCATTTATTCATTGATGCGTGTTTTACCTTCGACTGTCTGTTCAGTGCCGTGACAATTCGAGGTTCGAATATAACAAAATTCTGAAGTATAGTATTAGAACATATCTGTATCTATTCGCACGGCATCATCATGCCGATTTTACTTCATCACTAACATGCTTTCTCCAATAACTACCTACCTTTTATATTAGTAGCATGTTTCTATTTCTATCCTCATAGCCCCATGACCGTCGATTCCCTTCTCCTCATTATTTCTTCAAATATCCAAAGTCCATTACTTCTCTCTTGAAATTCCGCTTTACCTCATGCGGGGTTGTCAAACATCAAGTCGTCACAGGTGACCAATCTTTCACAATTGTGTATACAGCATCTCGGAAGCTTGATTCATAATACCGATGGTGTGAAGTGTGGTCGATATGTATGGGATTGGTGGTTGATGGAGTATACTGATCATTCCCTGTAGTCAAATACATGCTTTTGAACAACCCTAGTTCTTTTGCCTGTCTGTTCATCTCTATTCCCACCTCAATCATCAATCTCTACTTTTTCACTAGCATTTTTCTATGTTCATGAACTAAACCAGACATCGATACCCGAATTGCAAAATCATCCTCACTCCACATGATTCCCTCCTACAATCCAACACAGATAACAACCTAACAATCACAGACGTCCATGATAACAATAACAAACTCCCCATCATTCTACCTATATATACCACAAATTCTCTTCCTCAGTACACCTTTCATTCGCCATTACACCTCCAACTACAAATCAAAAACTTCAAAGCTCCCTTCAATTTCAAATTTCAAAAGCCAAAAAAGGACAACAGAAAATACCTGCCTGCACAACCAACCATGCAAAACCCCACTACCTTCCTCACCCTCACCCTCACCCTCATCCTCCTCTCTCTCACCACCACCTTCTGCATCACCACCACCGCCCACCCATCTCCAGCCCCAACCTCCCCCTCCACCTCCCTCCAATCCCGCCATCCCACACCCTGCACCTGCGTAACAAGCGGCACCTTCTGCTCATCCCGCAAAGGAAAATGGAGCGGCGCATGCGACTCAGACATGTTGCTAACCTGCGCGACAGCGGGACAGAAGCCTAAGAAGGAGAAGGATTGTTTTTTTCCTGGGGGATTTCAGCCGTTTTGTGTGGAGGATGATAAGAAGGGTGATTATTGTGCTTATGGTTGAGGGAAAGGGAAGGGGAGGGGAAGAGGGTGCTTGCTTGCTG